GGAAGAAGGATTATAAATACAATGAATAAATGAAAACAAAAGGGAATATAATTTCAGTATTAAAACATCTTTGATAGTTAATACTTAGTTCTCTGATTTCTCAACCCTTTGACTTTCTTTTCTACTTTATTTTCTGCAAATAGCCCAGAAAAGGGGAGTTGGTTATAAACATGAGAAACTCTACCAAGTTCAGCAGCGTTTGGCACTCTTTCAAAGTGCAGCAGTAAAGTGGCTTTAGCAGATTGGTGAGAAATAACTCAGTGGTGTGTGGGTGGGTGTCTGTTGCTCTCTGAACACCAGTGAGCTCCAAGAATTGTCTTGGGATACACAAGACTTGGCATCTGGACATTTTGCATCCGTCACACGTCATCCAGGCAGCTAAACCAAACAATCTTTCAGAAATGTAACGCAACAGAAGAAAAAGCCACCTTGGCCAGCTCATTATGACAAAAGCTGCATTCCCAAGATTGCCTGGGAGAGACAATAAAAAGCCTAAATTCCTAAATGATGCTGTCTTAATCATGCTGTATACAAGTGCTTGTTATGTTCTGTCAGGTTTTTTTCTCAGAAATCTGAGGACTGTTTGCACTTTTCAGCTTGTGCCCACTCTCATTTCTGTCTTATTCTTGCAATTTGGAACTCTAGGAGCTGTTCTGAAATATTAATTGAAATGAGCAAGATTCTGCTGACGGTCAGAGTGCACAGTTGCCTGCTCATAAAGACATTCTGTTCTTCCCGTTCCACTTTTCATTAATTGATCCAGCGCACACAGTCTTGGGTGCCTGCCTTCAATTCAAACATGTGAAATGGCTCTGTATCCAGGCAGTGCATACATAATGCAGTACTTGGTAATGCTCTGGGTCCAAATCTTGATCCTTTTCTAAGTCATTTTACCATGCTGATCACCCTAACACTGTATTTGATTCAGTTGTGCTACAGTATACTTATACTATATACTCTGTAGCACACAAACCAACTAAAGCCCTCCAAAACATCTTAAGCAAACCAAAAGACCCAGTAGCCCAAGAAGAAAAAAGAGGTGTCATCTACAACATACAGTGTAAGGACTGTAACAACCACTATGTAGGAGAGACAGGCGGAAGGCTAGCAGACCACATCATGAACACCAACTAGCACTCCGAAGACACAATGAAAACTCCTTAATCTCATAATATACGGACAGAATCAACCATAGTTTCAACTGGGAAACTGTCAGCATCCTAGACCAAGCTACATCCAAAAATGCTAAGGAATTCCTGGAAGTTTGGTACTCAGACAAGGCAGCCATCAACAAGCACATAGTGATAAACAACATCTACACACTATTCAAAAGAGACAATAAAAAGGAAAACAAAAGACCAGAACATCTCCTCACTAGCAACCATCACCCAGATAAGCAGAGATTAACACCAAGATTACCACCAGACATACAACCAAGCAGTAAACAATACCCTAATCGAGGAACTACCAGAAGGGAAAAAAAATAAAACAAAACCCACACCCCCACCAAGGGTAAGCCACTGTATATAAACAGAGAGCAAACCTGATTCCATTCTTGCACTGAAGGTATTACCTAGCTGTGTAATGAAACGTTTGCAAGAAAACAACCAAGCTCAGAGAACCCCAAGGACTCCATACTTTGAGGCATTTAGGTATTGACATCTATATTATGTTCATGTTTCTAAGTTCACTGCGTACTTCCTGAACCTGTTGTTTGTTCTTTATAAAATGTCCCAGAACTTTAGTTAAACCAGTAATAGCTTAATTTATTTACAATAACTGAATATATAATCTTTAAATCTGATTTTCCCAGTAGAAATCTGATTTCTCACATAACTCCTGCTCCTGTTCTTCTTCAGGTCTTTCTTTCAAAATAAGGTACTCCTTGTGTTTATTGGTTGGAGAATTTATTTCACTATTTTTGTTGTCATTTGAGTTGCAAACCATATATAATCCACAATTATACAATAAACAATATTAAATGGTCAGTTAATTTCAGAGGAAGAAAGGTACCCAATTTACTGGTAGTTTCTTCTTCGGTAACCTCTACCACGGGGCCTGGGGACTGGATTGTTAGGCCACCTGGCCTCAAGTTGGTGCTGGTTAATGCCAGGTCTGTTTGTAAGAAGACCACATCCATCCAGAATTTGGTGGTAGATGAACAGGCAGATCTGGCATGTACAGTGGGTGGAGGGAATAGCCTTGAGGGACATGTTAGACCTGATCTTTGCCTCTGAGTAGTTGCTTTGTGATCTGGATGTGGAGGGTATTACCATTTGCCCTTTGTTGTGGACAGAACCCTCCCTGGTCCAGATACATTTGACTGCTGCCCATTTCCTCTGCAGGGCCAAATCCATTCAAGGAATCTGCCCCAGATACCTTATGGATTCATCTGGTTTCCAGCAGGCACTTGCAGAGCACCCTGACAATATTGCGGGCAAGTCAACTGAGGGCCTGATTCACTGCTGGCATGAGACAGCATCTTGGGTCCTTGACAAAGTTGCTCCTGAATGGGCTCTCTTTTTTGGCCAATCCCAGTTGGCCCATTGGTTCTCTGAGGACTTCAGGAGCTGAAACAGCAGAAACATCACTGGAGGACAAAGACTGAATTTGACCGAACATGGATATGTGCCCTAGTTCAGGCCTATTCTGTGGTGATGAGAGGAGAAATGTAAGCCCTGCCCTGCTTTTCAAGTTACAAAGTTAGCTTCTCTTAAGTCTGTGCCCTCCAGAATTATAGCATGAAGACTAGACTGGGTAGGAATCTGTGAGATACTGTTTTATTGGGGTGGCGGCATTGCTCCAATCTCAAAACCACAACACCTTTTTTCATTGCGTGAATACCCCCAGGACTCCTATTATGCAACATGAGGTCCTGCTGAAGTTTGATCTACAGCTAAAAGTGAGGACAACCAAACCAACCTGACAAAAGCACAATGACTTTAGTGCTGCTCACAGGTAGTTATGTTTCATCCCTATAAAAGGACTGACTTGTTCTCTGGTATGAGCAAACGGGGAAATTCCAATATAATTTTTTTCTGTGTATTGTCAAAGGCTTTCACGGCCGGAATACGATGGCTGATGTGGTTCTTCCGGGCGGGTGGGGTGCTGGTTTTTGTGCTGTGGGATGATTTCTTTATCAGCGCATGGAGGCCGGGGACGAATAATCCACAAACACC